GTGCGGTGCCTACCCTACACTAATGCGCTGGTGCATACTGCACTGCTGTCGTACCTGGTTCTGGTGTACGTTGTCCTTCGATTTTATTTTATTGTTGTCGGAATATATATGTGTTTGTTTTTTGCCCCCCGTCTTGCTGCACCCCCTGGGGTGTGGTGCAGGGCGGGGGATGCCTGGTCGGCGGGAACCCGGCACGGAACCCTCCGGCGTTGTAGGCGGGTGTGGGAAGCGTTCCCCGTTCTCCTTTTATTTTATTTTGATCGGTCTCCTCGACGCTCTTTCTCGTTTGGTGCGGTAGCTGGTCTTCCTTTCTATCATTTTGTTTCTCTTCCGAGTGGTTTTTGTACCCTATTTTTTTTCTGTTTCTTCGTGGGGTCGTGTATGCCGGGTTTTGAGACCACGGGCTCCCAATCTTTCTTTTTTAGAGCTAATGTGAGAAACAACAACAACAACAAAACAACGCTTCGGAAGATCTACGAAAAAAGTACAAAAAAAGTACAATCTACGAAAAACTCGAGTTCCGCCGCATTACGACAGTCCATCCCTCATCCCTCACAGCTCACAGCTCATAGTTCACACAGCACCAACCCATTCAACGCTGTCGACAGCTGTTGTTTTTTTGTGTCAAGCAGTAGTGTGCACATCGCGGGGGGAGCTTGTGCGTTGAATGAGACTCGAAGAATCAGAATATCCTGACACTGCCCAAAGGGTATACGGCGCGGCGCAAGTGAAGCCGACAGCATGCAGCGGAAGCCAGGAGGATACACACCAGCCGGAGAGGTGCGGTCAGTTTCAGTAGGTCTTCACCACAATGTAGCGTACATCGTTACAACGGCGTGTTCACCGTACTCAACCGAACGAGGGTCAGTCGAGGCAAGGTTACCGTACCTATATGCTTCTGTATTTTATCGGTTACCGCTCTACGGGGCGCGTATTCGATAACTCGAGTCAAGATTGATTGACGGCCATGTCTGGAAGGTGCTTACCGCAGAACCGCGAAACCGGGTAGAAAGCGGTGACCGCGCTGCCCTGACGGCGGCGCGCAACGCTGAATGTCTGCGATGCGCTTTTCATCTTTCGTCTCCCGGCCCTCACAGGAGGAACATCCGATGCTTGCGGGCTCCCAACGAGCACGCGCGAGGACACGATTGCGGTACACCGGCCACAGGCGACCCCCTCCGCCCAAGACCACCCTTGCGGCTGTGACGATGCTCGTTGTCGGGATGGTGAGCGAGTCTGTCCTCACCTGGACGAAAACGAGCCCACTCTACTCTGGTCGCGTGTGCGTCTTGTCTTCAATCTAGGCCCACATATTTGGAGCACAAGGGCATAGAGGTGTTGTGCAAGCACCATAGATAGCGGGGTAGATTACGGCTGTAGGTTACTGCTGTGCATAAACTGCTGGAGTAGTATTGCCCCCCTGACGCATCCAGCGCGTTCTTCCTTGTGCAGGTCATGACGGCTTTGGGCGCATCGCACGTGTGGAAAGGGGATAATTCGCGTGGAGGGCACCATCTACTGGTCGGGGGAATATGTGAGTCAGGTTGTGTCGACCTTCATGTGTTTCGCCAAAGCATCAGGGTACAGCAACGTCCTTTGTCCGTGCGATTTCGGACGTGCCATGTGCCTGGTTGTGGTGCAGTCCGTTGTGTGTACGAAATTGATCGCAGCGTTTTGTCGAGATAGCACGCTACTGCTAGAGGTTGCCAGCATTGAGATGCGCCGTGTAAGATACAGCATTTTCTTCCAGGCATGCTGTGCACCTGCTTGCTCTAGGGCTGATACAAATGAGGCACGCACGGCGATGAGTCTTGGGTACCGTATGTATGTATGCATTTTATTATTGGCATCGACCGCGCTAACCGGCTGACGAATGAAAAGCGTCAGTCTTAGTGCGGTTGAAAACACCAAACACTATGCATACATGAATATGTGCGTCAATACCCCTTGGGAAGATTCCCTTACGGAAATACGGGGGACGCTGCCAGTTTGATTGTGTGAGTGACGAGCGGCGGCGAGTGTTGCAGATAGAGTCCGTCCGGTTAAATTTTCCCACAACATGACCCCCACTTTTCCTCGCTTGTTTTTGAGAGTTGACACGCGAAAAAAAGTTGAGAAGAACCGCAAGGTCGAGAAGCATCGATATCCAGGGTCAATTTTTTTTTGATGAAAATGGCCGTTTTTGGGCGAAAATTGCCCCGAAATTACCCCCCCGAAACGCCGCGTATTGTCCCGAAACAGCACGTATTATCCCGAGTACAGCCCCGCAGGCAGGGCCCTGCACCCTTAGCTCGGCAGCGCCGAGTAGAACAACCTTTTTCGCTTGATAGATATATATTCTATCTACATTAAGTTGTGTCCTATATATTCTATCTATCTAGAATACTATATACCATGTCGGTTAAGACCACATGTAAAAATTTTTATGTCGAAGTATAAAGGAGCAGGACGCAAATGTAAGGTAGAATATCTATCTACCTATATGGTTACACAGATACAACATCGCGCCGGCTGGTGCTGCCGGTGAAGTGAGGTGGTGCGAGCTTTGCCGCTACGAAACGCTTCAACATGTTATCGGCAGCCTCGTTAGACTTTTTTCTGGCCTCCTTGGCCGCGGCAAGGGCGGCCTGCTCTTTGGCCTTGCGCTCCTCCGCGGTTGTTGCTTGGCCACGAGCCAGCAACACGTTGTCGGCCGTGTCGGTGGGCGAGCGGTGGTTCGTCCACTTCTTGAGGTCTCGGGTTTGCAAGTTGCCCTCAAGCCCCGTGGCTGTAGGCATATATGTACAGCCAGGAAACACGGGCCCATTTTCGGCACAGTGACAAAGAGACAGTGCTCAGCGTCATGGGAAGCCTTGCAAGCAGACTCAGGACGGAGTAGTCGCAGACACGGCGCTCGATAGACTTGGTGTAGCCCCAGAAACGCTCGATAGCATTGAGCTCCGGGTGGTACCTGGAAACCCCGCAAGAGCAGAGAAGGAAACTTAGCGCAAGAGTCTGAGCAGCATTATACGGTTAGAATCGAACCTCATGCGCGTATTGCAGATATCTAGATATTCTACCCATAGACACATCTCCGCCCAAAAAAATTCACTCACTTGGCGAGGAAAATGCATGCGTGCCCAGCAGCTTCGAACAGCTCCTCGACCCGATTCATCTGCTCCTTGAAGGCCTTGACCTCGCTGATGATTCGCTGGCAGCAGCATCTTCTCGATGTTCTGGCTGCATCGCGAGCACCACCTTCCTCGCTGTCTTCGTCCGAATCATCGGAGTCTCCTTCGCCTTCGAGCGCCTGCTGCCGGCTCTCCCCCCCCTTGTTGTACATCGTTGACTTGTCCCGCTTGGCCTTAGCCTCGTCTTTGCACCTTAAAAAGAAACAGAGGACAGAGACATGCAAAAAAGAGGCGCCGAAAACGTAAATATAGGTTACCGCGAGTCCAGGTGCATCGCAGTAGAATAGAGCTCAAGGGAAAAAGCAGAACACACCTCGAATAGTTCATCGACTTCAAACGAGGCATGGAGGGCACGCCGGCATTTTAGCCCCTGAAACAGAAACGAAAACCAATGATCCCACCTTTGGCACAGCAGCGGTGGCGCTTTCGTTTCGCTGGCTAGCTTGTACAGCCCCATGTCCTCCAGAATCTCCTTCATCCCCTTGGCGACACCAATCAGCTTCTCCGAGCTGGTCCCCCGTTTGACAACCGTTCCTATCGGGAACACTCCCAACCTTTTCCCGTGTCGTTTCTTGGCTACATACGTTTGACGGAGACAAGAGCAGGAAGGGGAAAAGGCGATATTTGTTTCGTACCCATAGCCACTATCTACGAAACTGGATGGGATGGGAAAGCTCGAGTATCACGTGCTGTATTGTTTTTAAGCCTCTCACAAAAAAAGTTCCTAAAATCACGTCAACTCTCTACAGCAGTGCAGTAGATAGATATATGTCTACATAGAAAAAAGTCCCTAAATCAACGATGGAGCTCACCCACGGCCTCCGCCTCCGTCTTTCGAGCGAAGGGGCTGGATCTGAAGCACAGCACGTCGCCCTCCCGAAACGTCGTGTAGATCGTTCTGCCGTTGTACTCGAAGTTGCGGGGGGGGATCTGCTCGCCCCCTGGTGAGGCTCGGATGTTCTGCGCCCTCAAGGCGTCGGGGCTGTATGCGTTGTGCCCGGTGGAGTTGTCAAAGACTGCGAGCATCTGTCGGCCTGGTTCCCTCGAGATCTCGAACGCCGCGAATATGGCCTGTCGATGAAAGCGTGAGCGCGATGGAAATGTGTATTGGCGAGACGCGTGGCTCAGAGTTTCGTTTGGAAACAGAATGTAGAAGCCAGGTCGTGGGAAGAAAATCTGAGGGCCATGAACCCACCTCGAAACACAATGTTGCTCTGTAGATATCTAAAGGTTGACTTTCCTCACCTCAAGCTGCACGCACAAGCGGTTGCTATCCCAGTATCCGTCGAGGTTCTTGCCGACCCGGAGGATGATCCTGGCCGAGCGCGCAAGGTTGTACTCGGGCCCAGATTCCTTGCAGTCGATGTTCAGCTCCGAAAGAACGCGCTCGAGCGAGTGAACAGCATCAGACACCTTCTTCGTCTTCATGCCGTCGGGGTACTCTTCGCACGGCTTGCAACGCCCGACGTAGGTGTCGCTGCGGGAGAGCGTAGCTCCTTCATCCGTAATCTCCATCTGTGGGATAGGAGCAGGCATCCACAAACAAAAAACACAGAGTGGACAAGAGTCAGCATGTTCAGTATTTCGCTCGAGGGAGCATTGAAAACATTTAGTAAATTTTCATCGACGGGAACAGGGGCACACTCCACATTCCACGTCAGCCCTCCAGATACAACCTATATTTACGATACTCCTATACAACATACCTTCGGCATTGTCCCGTGTTCCTGCATGATCGCGTACACCTCAGCGGGGATGTCCAGCTGCCCGCGTTCCTCGCCGATCAAGTCCGACACCATGACAGCGGCGCCCTCGTTTTTCGGGCTCATCGCTGCGCCCTTTTCATCGTTCTCCCACGCTGCCCCGCCCCTGTCGTTCTGCTTGTAGGCGCACTCGTCGTGGTACACCACCTCCATCACCTCCCTCGGTTCCAGCAAGCGAAACCCGGGCGGCAGCGGTTGGGCTGGAACACGCTGCCGCTCCGTGCACCACAGCTCGAGTCTCTCGTCGACCGGAAGCTCTTCGAGCTTTCCGCTCGTCCTGAGGTTATGCTGCTTCTCCCAGCCGCACTCGCCTTCGAGCTGAACGTGCATCCATGTGCTCCCTTCCCCCAGAGGATCGCCCCCCGCACTCTCGAACACCGCAGGCCAAAGAGCAACCTCCTCGGCTTCCGGGCCCTCACCGATCTTTGCGAGCCTGCAGGTCAAGGTGGCGGGACGAGAGATTAAACAAGAGGTCCCTGCGCAAGGTTGTATGTTCGCGTAAATGCTCAAACTTGAACGACATCTAAACTTGAAAAAAAAGTAAGTTGTCGGTTCCACGATGGAAACCTTACACGAAATCGGAAACATTGCAGACCCAATCACACCACAAATTCAATACGCACTTGACTGTACGCTTCTGGTGCTCCTGCATCTCCGTCACGTAACCCATCCTCCTCCTGATGTTGTCGGGGCGGTTGTGACCGTCTGCGTTGACACACTTTCGGTGTCGCCGCCAACGGAAGCCCAAGTCCTGCAGCCATCTGTGCGCCGTGTCGAGGGAGACCCTCTTCCATGTAAGGCTTGAGCGCGGTGTCGTTGAGATGCCTGCGATTTTGATCAAAAATAATGGTACAACATAAGTTGCTGTGCAACAATCGACACACGGTTCTTCTGCATATCTTTCAACGACCTGGGATGTAAACATCTATTGCATATCGTGGGAATGTTTCGACACCAGCATGCATCGCTAATCGCCAACCGACAAACTCTGAAATAGAATCCTAACCATGACGTTGTTTACATTCCATACTCACTTCTGCAAGTCCCGAACACGTAGCTGCGGCTCCCCCTCCTTGCGGCCGTATATCTTGGCGTCCAGCCACTCGCGCGACTCTTCGCGAAAGTCCTCGTCGTTGATTACCGAGAGCAGGTTGCGAGCAGCGAGGTCCCGCACGCGAACCTTGAACCTCTTGCCGTTGACAAAATCACGCACCCACGCCCGAACCACTTTACCGGTCACGCCGACCGGAAGCGCCGCAACCTCGCTGTGCTTGATGGGGTGAAGTCCATCAGCAATCCTGGTCCGCCAAACGCAAACACATTTGGCACGATAGTCGTGACTAATTCAGGGGATGCGTATTCGACAATGTGGAATTTAGCGGGTTGTAAACTGTTTGCGTACCCACTGCTGTAGCACGCATCCATCACACACGCGAAAAACATAACTTACTCTAGCGACACGAAGGTCAAGATGGCGGACGCCTGTCTCATGGCGTACCCCTTCTTGTTGTCGGTTGCTAGCGCCTCGTCCGGGTTCTCCACGATGTTTTCCAGCCGGAAGTGCCGGACCGCCTGATCAAATCAGTACAGGGAGGGGGCTGTCACGTCAAGGCGAATATTTACCGACAGAACTTTACGTGACGCACAGCAGCAGCAGCCCCACCAATTTGAACATGTGCGTGAATTTTCAACTTAAAAAACGCAACCACCCATGTTTTTATCTAGGCATATCTTCATGGAGCTGTGATCACATGAAAGTACGCACCACCTGCTGTCACTACACACAAAACGACACAAAACAGGCCCCTGCCTTCACACACACACTCACACACGAGAGAGTCGGCAAAGCTGGGGATATTTTTTCACCCTTGCCACAAATGAAAGCAGATGCGGCAACATCACAGCTGCAAAGTCCACACAGCAGTAGTCATGAACACCATTGTTGTGTCTACTCCAAACGCTGCTCACCGGAAAAAGAATACCTTCGCCTGTTCGAAGATCTCTAGCCGCTCTTCGCTCTTGCACCTTCAAACGCGCCGCTTCCCGCACTGCGCGCCGTCTCGCCGTCTCCCGGATTTCTTCGACCTCCTCTCCCGCCTTCGTTGCTCCTTGCGAGACACTCTCCTGCGCTTGGGGTTACATTGCTTCTCCTTCTTTCCTCTTCCTGGGCCAGCTGGCAAGCCCTTTGGCCGCGGTTTCCGCGCCCGCGCCGCGGCAGTAGCCGCCGGCTGGATGCGGCATGATTTCCGCTGTGCGGCGGAATCTCGATCTGCGCACCGATCGGGATTCTGCAACGCTCCCTGCGACGGCTGCTTCGGCGTCTGCTCCAACGTCTGCTCCACGTCGCTCCACTCCATGTTAGACTCTTCTGACGACGTGCAGTCAGCCGAGTCGCCAGCGTATTCCCCGNCCTCTTCCTGGGCCAGCTGGCAAGCCCTTTGGCCGCGGTTTCCGCGCCCGCGCCGCGGCAGTAGCCGCCGGCTGGGTGCGGGGNTGGCCGCGGTTTCCGCGCCCGCGCCGCGGCAGTAGCCGCCGGCTGGATGCGGCATGATTTCCGCTGTGCGGCGGAATCTCGATCTGCGCACCGATCGGGATTCTGCAACGCTCCCTGCGACGGCTGCTTCGGCGTCTGCTCCAACGTCTGCTCCACGTCGCTCCACTCCATGTTAGACTCTTCTGACGACGTGCAGTCAGCCGAGTCGCCAGCGTATCCCCCAAAGATGAGCCCCTCAGACGCGGAACTGCACGCGTCCAGACACACATCCACCTGCTCCATGGCATCTTGTCCAAACCAATTGCAGAGCTCGTCACCGTCGTCTCCACCTCCCTCAACCTCGAACACAACCGCCCCGTCCTCAAACTGTACCGCCTTGCTTTCGGTCTCTGAAGAGGTGGGGGCGAAAGTGCTGCCGGGCGGAGGCGGTGGAGTCGGCGCCCACATCTGAAAAAGAGTGCGAAAGCCCCTCTTTTCTTCTTTTTCTCGCTGCTGTTGCCGGCGGCGCCTGCGCTGTCGTTTGCTCGTGCCATCACGCTTGACACGGCCCGAGTCCCCGAGCTGCAGCTGCCATAGTGACTACTGCTGTCGCTGCTGTGTTGGCTGCTGCTGTGGTCCTCCTCGTCTCCTTCATAACATGTGTCGTGGTGGTCATGTGGCGGTGAAGTGTCCGCAGCGGGGGATGGTGACGCGGCCGCTTTCGCGCCGAACCGACCACCTGTTCTTGTTTGGCAGCTGCCACGCTTCTTGTTTCGTTTACCGGGGGGACGCCCAACCATGTATGGGCTTGGATAGGCCCTCAGTGGGGTCTATGTGACTGCTGTAGCGTGTGGTGTGTTGTGTGGTGTGTGTGGCGGCACCAAACTTTGATGGGCCATAACTCTTTCAGAAAAATTTTGTTTGCAAAACAAAAATAAACGGTCCTGGGTGCAGGTCCAATTCGCCCGAATCCGTCGAGTTTTTCGAAATCTATCGGTTGGTTTCACCATTAAAAACAGAACTCTGGGACCAGCTGGAATGAGTCTTTTTGCACATTTCTCCGTTGTATCTCAGCGAATACAAAGTTGAGTTGGGTCGCCGCGTAGCCCTCGGCGTGATACGCTCAAAACCGGTCTTAAAAAAAAAGTGGATATCACACACGCCCTATTAAAACATAACAAAATCTGACAAAATCTCGACGGAATCGCGACTTTCTCGCCAACCAAAAAAAAAAAAATCTGCTCCGATCAAACGATCCGCCTGAAAAAGAGCTTTTTCACGATATAAGGTATGTTATCAGGGGGTACGTCAGTCGCTCGCAATATATTTCCGAGTGATTCTAGGCAATCGTGGGAAAATTTAACCGGACGGACTACGATCAAAAGATTGATTGCGTTCAGAGAAAGTGTGGGCGTGACCGCAGGGACTGTTCTTGGTCGTATTCCGTGCATGACACACAATTCGAGACCCCGGCGCCAGCATGTTGGTGCCTTAATGTCGCCACGCAACGGGGTATTCTGTAGAGGACCTGGCTTGTTTTGCCACCCGGGTGGCAAAGTGTAAGTCACGGAAGCCCTGCATTCGCGGGTACGCGATGACACGGTGCAGGAATCATACATAATGGTGATACAAGTAGCAAGGTGGGGGGCAAGCTCTAGTGTTTTACGTGCCCCCCCCCTGTCGCGGAATGTCCGTGGTACAAGAAGGAGAGGGATGTGTACGTGACTGAGCTGGGAAAAATAGATAGGACGTACAGCGAGATGATTGAGGCATGGAATAGAGAGGAAGGGACGGTAGCTGTACTGGGGCATAGGAGGTGGGTTGAGAAGGCGGGGAGAGATATCGATAGGATACAGACTACGGAAGACATTTTTGAGCCACCTTTGGCAAAGTAGAAAGGAAAGATTGGCCAACGGTGATCGGTCCTGTGGGAACAATGCTCCGTCCTCTCGAGGACGCGTGGTCAATGGTCTAACCGCTAAGGCATGCAAAACATCATAGTACGCCCCCCCCCCCCGCCTCAGTCCAGGGATGAACCCCAACATACAATCATTCCACTCTTCACGTTGATCAAGCATGGTCGCAGCGAGGAGCATACCCCCGCAGATACGGTGGCTGTCAACCATGACTCCTGTTGCGATGCTCCACGCCTAAGCAGCAGCGAGTGTAGAATCAGGGCTGTTCGCCCCCCTGAACCGCTTCAGGAGAGGCCGCGGAGGCGCCTGACAGCGGGCTGGAACACTCCTGTGTCCTGTGTGCGCATGGTAGTATCACGGGAAGTTTACTCATCATTGCGGTGATCACCAGGGGGGCGGTGGTCATTTGCCACACAGCCTCAGAGCTGGTGTCTGCATCTAGCATCTAGACTGGTGTGGAGCCGGGAAGACAGGTCATGCCGTCATTTTCGGGTTGAAAATTCCAACGCCGGGAGGCAACCTCCTGCAGTATCAACATCTCGTGGGTACCGTCTACGTGGCAGGGTACCGTCGATTTGTGTGCTCATCTTGGCGTCGGGCCTGAGCTACGCGAATCGTAGAGGCAAGGAGTTGGGGAACGCAATGTTGCGACAGCGAAAATATGTTGCTCAGCACTGGGCACGTGCAACGCTAGACAACTCCGCCAGTTTAAGCACCACAAGAAACAGAGCAACACACGCTTGGCCCATTGGGCTCAACTCCGGACAGCGCGATGCTGAAACAGTGACAGCGGTTGTTACTAGAGTCCCACGATGTCAAATCAGCACTACATTGCAATAATCACGAACTTTTAGGCGCACACCTGCGGCGGAAATGTTGAGGGAACCCTAACTGTACTCGAGACCGAACGAGTACCCTTGGTAGATACCACGGTCANCCCCCCCCCCCCCTCCCCCGCCCCTGCTACCTCTTGTCGTTGTTAAACTTTATTACGCCGCCGGCCAAGTGCTCCTGCCTGGAAGCTACGCATCATTCAATCTGCTTGGGGCCTACCTTGGTTGGCCAGGATTCGACTACAGCTCGATCCCGTCTTACGATGAATGACACAGCACGCCTTGTTCGGGGAATACAGCGAGCATGGCGCCAAACACGTGGCGGATACATGAGGCACCGCTTCCGCTGCATCTAGGGCCGGATGGTTTTGCAAAACATGTCGATATCAACTTGTACTGGACTGACGCATACGATTGTTGTAGTCACACAAAAAACTACTGACACTTCTTCGAAGCGTTATGTAGTACAGATAATTTCCCCAACGGGTGACAAACAGTATTCGTTGATGTGGTGCACCACACGCACGCACATACGACGCACGCACACACGCACGCTCGAGCTTTTTCCCACGGGGGGTGAGCTACCATCGCCGGGTCACGCCATGCTCAGCTTTTCTCTGCCCAAGCTCCTGGTGAGGGCAGAACCAGCCCAAACCTGGCGACAAACACAGAAAAACGGGCTCCTGAGTAAATGTGACGAGGATGGCTGGAAAATCTCAGCAGCACCACGACGTTGCCTTCGAGTGGCTTGCCCTGACCCGTTGGGTTACGCACAATAGACGCTTACCCTGAACCCGTTGGGTTAAGCCACAAGAGACATGCAAAGGGGCTTGAATTCAGGACGCAGTATGTGCCGGCAAGTACGATCTCCACGCAATTGCAGCTCGGCGATCAAAAACGGCAGTTGCCAAGCATGCAGAGGCAGAGCGAGGAGGAGAGAGAGAGACAGCACCGTTTGGCTGGGCGTGATCTAACCCCACTCACCGGTGCCTCTCCCTGGCGGTCGGGGAAAAGAAGCTTCCGTGCAGTATCCAGTGCCACCATGCTGGAGGCCACGAAAATGATGAACGCCAGGTCGTTCAGGGACAGAGCTTCGGTCTGGAAAATTTGCTGGAGCCATGGCACGTACACCACGAGCATCTGCGTTCCACAATACAGCAGCGATATCTTGGTCAATACAAAGAAAATGCAAGAAACAAACAAATGAACCAACCAATACTCTGCCGTAAACGACAACGAGCGCGCGCACACACGGTCGGCGCAAAATGGAGTGCCCTCCAACGCAGCAAGCGTGCAATGCAGCAAGCACGGTCACCCTTGCATATCGAGCATGGATTTCGGTCGCGCGGCTGTCTCTCCCGTACGCGAGCGCCTTTCGTCTCCAGTCGAATAGTCTCAAAACGATGTCCAGGATGTGTCTCCCACGCGCTGAAGCACGCACCTGGCCGACAAGGGACCCTCCGGCAGAGTAGATGAACGCCATGTTGGCGAACATGTCCATCTGGGGCACGATCTTGTCCGCCGACCGGCAACACAAGGCGTTGAACATGTCGAACATGACGAAAGTCGTGAACGTCATGGTCCTATCTCGCCGTGTCGGCTCCATGCTTTTTGACAATACGCCGTTCTGTTCGCGTCAACGGTGGCACAGGCGGGGGCGTGGAAGGTTGGGCGGCGGCCGGGGGGG